TAAAGACTATTATCTATACAACTGCAAGTAATTTAAAACTTTTGCCATGGATCAGGGTTGAGATGACATCACCTTAGGTGTGATATTTAGCCGAATATGTAGCGTAATATAAATTTTTCAAGCGCCGATGTACGGCTGCTTCGCGATAACATCATCTCCTCTAGGTGTCAAAGTCCAAAATGTACAAAATCATGAAATATAAGGATAATCCTCAAGGTTACATTGCACTAACATACTTGGACAACTACATGTAATTTGAAACATTTGCGATGCACCTGGGATTTGACATCATCTCTAGACGACAAAAATGCAATAATCGACATTAGTCAAAATGTACGTGACAAACCGCGAAATACAGATTTAATTGAAATATGATACACATGATGGAACGAGACATCATGGTAGAATATAAAATCATGGTAAAAAGGCACACTCTGTCAGTATTTTTACAAGAGGTTCCGAGACAATAGCTATTAATAAGCGCATCTTGTTAGCAAAAAGTTTTGGCATAAATTTGGAAATATAACGAAAAACAGTGCAGAACAAAAGCTGCGTGAGCAATCCACACTGGTGAATTCGACAATTCAGAGGAGTACGTTGCGTGGGAGCAACGATGCGATGAATATATCGAATCATTGGAAGAACAAAGTCGAATCAAACGTCCACGATTATCAATCGGAATTCCACAATTGCTGATTGTCCGAATCGCACGATTCGAAGGATTGAAAAACTCGTTACGCAGGCATTTCGTACATGCGGGTGCAGGATGCAGTACGCGACAAAATGAATTGATTTGGCGAGAGATCGATACAGCGTTCGAGAATCGCATATTGACTGGTGCGGTTATAAATCATAATCACATCGAACTTCGTCAATTTCTGGAGGTTGCCAAAGATATTGTACTCAAACACATGTAAAACGTGATGAAAAAACACTTTAATGTGAAAGTGAATATATTCAATGGTGAATTCGTGACGAGTGATAAACGTGCAAATAAAAGTATTAATATCAGAAACTATGAACTATTTCGCACGTTCGATTTACGCGAATGGTACGAGCGGCGCGTTATCGAGTCCACTCTAGCATCGAATTTCTAGAAACGCGACAGCGGGTTGGCATTGTCGCGAATACTTGATTTGACTGTAAAAATAAATAAATATAATCCTATGCGCGCGGGATGTCACATGAAATTGCCGCGGGCGATAATGATGAGAAGAGCAGTGATTAATGTACAGTTTAATGATAATGCGTGTCTCCCGTGGTCTGTGGTCGCTGCTCTACATCCAACTGAAAGATACGTTTATCGAGTATCTTCATACCCTCATTATACAACAGTACTGAATCTCCAGGACATTGAGTTTCTAATGACTGCGAATCAAATTAAAAAACAAATATGAATATAAATATAAGGCTCTCAAGATTAAACTAAAATTAAAATTCAAGATAAAGGCAATCAGAGCCAAGCGCGGTAAGTGGAGCGCAACAACCTTTATTCTGTGATCAATCTCTATAGAAATAGAGTATAAAAAAACCGGACGTTTCGGCTCCTTTTTCGGGCCATCTTCAGCGCAAAACAATTAAAATTAGCTTATGACACAGGTTAACGGTCGTGTGTTCTTATTCGGATAGTAAACATGGTCGCAAATAAAAATTAATAAATAAAAGTTAACGGTCGTGTGTTCATAGTCGATGTAATAAAAACATGGTCGCAAATAACTAAATAGATAGTAATAAATAAATAAATAATAAAAATTAAATAAAAATTAAGTAAAAATTAAATAAAAAAATAATAAAAATTAAAAGCGGAAATCTTTCAGATTATTATAGTGTTGCAGACTGTGTATTATCTGTATATTTATGTAATTTATTAACCGTTAACCGTCATAAGCTAATTTTAATTGTTTTGCGCTGAAGATGGCCCGAAAAAGGAGCCGAAACATCCGGTTTTTGTATACTCCATTTCTATAGAGATTGATCACAGAAAAAAGCTTGTTGCGCTCCACTTACCGCGCTTGGCCCTGATTGCCTTTATCTTGAATTTTAATTTTAGTCAAATTAAAAAATTCGAACTTGCCAACGATATCTCAATCCATATATATGTATAGTATCGAGAAAGAGAACATTGTCCCGATATGTCTGAGCGAGCTAAAGAGAGATAAACACGTCAACCTGCTGTACGTAGAAGACAACAACGTTGGACATTTTGCATGGATCAAAAATTTATCCAGGCTCGTGAGCTCGCAATTGAGCAAACATAATGATCAAAAAAATATTTGCGATCGGTATGTATATATTTAATAAAATACATTGTAGAAATAATTGAACAAAAAATAAAAAATTATTTCTTTTTATAGATGTTTGTACTATTTTGGATCAGAAGACAAGTTGCAATCACATACAGTGAACTGTCGAGAGATGAACGATTGCGCCATCCGATTATCGAGCGATAAGGACAAGTTGTTCACTTTAAATCTTCAACAACTTTAATCAGAAAGAGCGGCTTTCTTTCGTTGCGTACGCCGACTTGGAGCGCGTTTTGGAGAAGACGGAGGAAAAAAGAAACTTATACCAACATCATTGCCATCATTGCCATCTAACCGAGTGGTACAGAGGTCCCGCGCATTCAAATTGTAATCTAAATTATAAAGATTCTTTTTGCATTCCTATAGTTTTTCACAATTTATTCGGTTACGACGCGCATTTCATTATCAAGGAAATAGCTACAGCGTTCGAAGGAGACATTGAAATACTTTCGATAAAAAAAAAATATATATATCATTTACGAAAGCGTTAAACTTGCAGAAGAGAAATCGAAAAATTATATTAAATTGCGTTTCATAGATTCGTATAAATTTCTTACAACCAGTTTCGACAAATTGGCATCATTTTTAAATAAAGACAAACTCAAAATTTTAAAATCTGGATTTGAAAATTTACCGAATGACAATTTCAATTTATTAATACGGAAGGGCGTCTTTCCATACGAATATATTGACTGCGTCGACAGGTTGCAAGATACGTGTTTACCACCGCGTAAATCATTTTACAGTTCCTTGACCGGTGACACAATATCCGAGAGCGATTACGCGCATGCCGAGGACGTCTGGAAGCGGTTTTCCCTTCGAATGTTAGGCGAATATAGCGGCTTGTATTTCAAAATTGATGTTTTGTTATTAGCAGATATTTTCGAAAATTTCCGCGTAAGTTGTATTAAAAGTTATAGGCTCGACCCTGTGAAATACTATACTCTTCCAGAATATATGTGGGATGCCATGTTGAGGCATATGAATATTACGTTCGAATTGCTTACAGATATCGACATGGTTTTATTTATCAAACGTGGAATACGTGGTGGTCTAAGTCAATGCTCCAACAGATATGCACATGCTAATAACAAGTACATGCAGTCGTATGATCCATCGAAACCTTCATCGTATCTCATGTACTTTGATGTAAATAATTTGTACGGATGGGCAATGTGTCAACCTTTGCCCTATGCAGATTTTCGATGGGTCGATGACGTATCCGATTTTGATACATCATCGATCGCATTCGATTCGTCAACAGGCTACATCCTTGAAGTAGATCTCGAATATCCGCAACATGTTCACGATACGCACCCTGACCTACTGTTTTGCCCGACACACGACAAACCGGTAAGCGGTAGGATAAACTGCTCGCAACCTTATATGATAAGAAGCGTTACGTATACATTATCGCAACCTGCAGCAGTGCATGGGACTTCACGTTACAAAAACACATTGAATATTACAGTTTTGACAATCTCCATGGCTTCGCAGTTATATCGAACTCAATACACAATTCCGCACACTAGCGAAAAATGACTTTGAAAAAAATTTATATAAATTAATGAATAATGCTAATGGTATTTGGCAAAACGATGGAAAATGTACGCAATCGTGTTAATGTTAAGCTCGTGATACATTGGGATGGAAGATATGACGCAGAGGCAATGATCGCAAAACCAAATTTTTACAGTAGAAGCGTGTTTTCGGAGAATCTGATCGCCGTTGAATTGCGCAATCCCGAAGAAAAATTTAGTAAACCAATCTACGTGGGTATGTGCATACTCGACATATGCAAGACACGTTTGTACAAGTTTCATCACCTATTACATGTCACCTATGTATCGAGAGAAATGTAAACTCATGTACACCGACACCGATAGTCTCATATATCACATCGAGTGTGAAGATATATATGAGAATATGAAGCGCAACGTCGACAGATTTGACACCAGCGATTATGCAGTGGACAATGTATTCAGTACACCGCTCGCGAATAAAAAGATACCGAGTTTAATGAAGGACGAAAATAATGGCGCGATAATGACCGAATTCGTCGGTCTTAGAGCAAAAATGTACGCGTTATGAGTAGATGGTAAGAAGGATACCAAAAAGGTAAAAGGCGTCAAGAGTAACGTCGTCGCGAGAACGATAACGTTCAACGATTACACGCGGTGTTTGAACGAAGAGATTGAAATGACGCGTCAGCAGTCTTGTATAAGATCTGAATTACATGAATATACACCATCCGCGAGACAAAAATTGCTCGCGGGGGTAACATCGATATGTCTCATACCGATAGTGCGATGTTTTCCCGCATTGTACTCTCCAACGAGTCGTGACAACGCGTCGATCCACTTGTAATTTCCATTAAGCGTAAACATTTTCCACATATTGTTCTTTAACGTTCGGTTGAATCTTTCCACGACCCAGTTTTGCGGACCGGGAACTCATTTAGAAACACGCTTACGAAACACGGCTAGAGACGATCGAGGTATCAATCCATTGGGTGTCGCGTGTCGCGAGCACGACATAGCTTATTCTGGAAGCAACGATCTCGGTCAATGACACGTTGCGGATAATATACTCGCCACGAAAGCGCGAACACGTATTACCGCGAGAGATTCGACTCTTGGCGAAGGAGCAGCCGCTACAGCTGTTTGGGCGGCTATGAAAGCAAAGACAAAATTCGGTATGGGGATAAAACAAAAAAAATCATCGATGAAGAAAAAGACTGCGAAAAAACGAATACTTCCTATAGCGAAGCGCGGTGGTATCTTACCCATTTTACCATTATTTGGAGTTCTCGGTTCGTTGGCTGGCGGAGCAGCGGGATTCGCGAAGGCGGTGAACGATAGCAAGGCGGCGCAACGTCAGCTCGAAGAAATGCAGCGTTACAATCCATACGCCAACACAACGTTTGGATATAGCGACGAGATATGGATACCGATACAACATCAAGATTTGTACACGTTACCATGTGTAAGTTTTCTATACGTCGAGGGAAAGTTGAGGGTGCGTAAAGTAGCTGAAGGGGGAAGAGTGGTATTGGGAAACAATTGTGTCGCGTTTATGTTTGATGAACTTCGATATGAACTCGACGGTGTGGAGATTGACCGCAACAGAAACGTTGAAATAATTTCCACGATTAAAAACTATGTCTCTCTAACAGCCGAGAAAGGTAAAATCTTGGAGAATGCTGCGTGGAATATGTCGCACAATGCTGCTTACTTCAATTTTTGCGTGCCGCTAAACCTACTATTGGGTTTTTGCGAAGATTATAAGCGAGTTGTGATCAACGCTTGTCACGAATTAGTTCTGATACGTTCGCGCAACGACAACAATTGCATATTTGGACATGCTTCGGCTGAAGCTGATATCGAATTATTCAAGACGCAATGGCCTATGCCTCATGTAATATTGAGCGAGGTCAATAAACTATCCTTGCTACGCGCGGAAAGCGGGCGATACTTGAATATGAGGTTTCGCTCTTGGGATCTATACGAATTTCTTCTGTTGCATAATACGACTAAGCATTCGTGGACTGTGAAAGCCGCCTCTCAGCTGGAGAAGCCGCGATACGTGATCTATGCGCTGCAGACTGGCAGAAAAAATGCTGTGTCAAAAGATATTACTACATTCGACGACTGCAAATTGACCAAATTATTGTTAAAATATATTTTTATTCTCTTTTATTCTTCCCCTTTCCTCTTTCTTATCCCAGTATGCGAGTATTAAATTTCAGTACGTGACGTTAGATAGCGGCGTCAGCCACCTTATCAGACTACAGATGTTACATTTCAGTACATGAACATAGACTTTAAATATTTGAATGGAGTATAAATAATTGTTTTGTCGTTCAAAGCCGTTCGATAGCCGTTCAATAGTCGTTCAATATTCGTTCGATAGTCGTTCATAGCCGTTCGATATCCGTTCAAAGCTGTTTAATAGCCGTTCGATAGCCGTTCAATAGCCGTTCGATAGCCGTTCAAAGCCGTTCGATAGCCGTTCAAAAGTGGATGTAGCATGGACATGAACCAAAATCGACAGTATCGAAAAGTGAATGTAGCACGGACATGAACCAATTGGCTGTTTTATCGGCTCTGAAAGTGGATGTGGCCATGTAGTTCCAGGCGGTGTAAAATGGATGTACGTGACGCTAGTGTACGACCTAGAAAAAGCATCTCACGGAAAATGGCAGCGTGGCGACTCTCATTTTTCTCTCTGTTCATAGGCACCTCTCTCTCGGCGAAATAGTGGCGACAGCCAAACAAAGGGATCGCTCATTCTAGTATTATAGAGTTCATTGGTCGCTATAAACTTCTATATATTACTAGACTGCTAACTCCCTTATACAAGGTGTTCCAGGAGGAAAGGTCAATATTCTGGGATGTGATCGTATCGGTCATTTTAAGCAAAAATGTTCATATGAATATATGTCCTATTCTCCACGTTTTTCGAGATAGAGCGACTTGAATGTATGTCTCGTGTATTCACTTTTCTTCTGTACACTTCAACCTTCATCCGTAAACCTGTACAGTGAAGTGTACAGAAGAAAAATGAATACACGAGACGAACTGCTCGCTCAAATAATGGATGCTAGTGCCCGCATAAAGAAACGTCACGATGTACTCAGACGAGCAACACGCCATGTTCACACAACAGTTGAAAAATGCATTGATGTTAACGGTGGAATTTTTGAAAATTTGTTATAATCTGTAAAAAATGTATCACTTGAACAATAAATATTAGAAATAGTACATAGTATTTCTTTCTTGTCAGTAATTTTGCAACTGTACATTCATGTCGCTCTATCTCGGAAACCGTGGGTAATAGGACATATATTCATATGAACATTTTTGCATCAAATGACCGATACGATCACCTCCCAGAATATTGACCTTTCCTCCTGGAACACCCTGTATATACAGGGTGTCTCACAACCTCCGTACAATACTTTAATAGTGTATTCTAGAGATAAAATAGAGTCAAAAATTCTAATATAAAAATTTTAAGGCTGCAATAGTTTTTGAGTTATAAGCGATCAAAGTTTGCAAATGATATCGCGTAGAACTCGCGCGCTCAGATCTGTAACTACACATACACGCGTATCCAAATAACTTTTGTCTGAAACGTTTTTCCGTATTTTCCATATTTTTCGAGATATTTGACTGGCTCTTTTAAAATGTACCACCCTGTATATTGTGAAACGGGTTAAATGGTAAAAGCTTTGATAATTAAGAACTTTATATTTTTATACATATTTATATTAACTTTAAGAATTTTATATTTTTATATGCATATATACTCATACACATACTCTGTATAACATAAGATTTTTATATTAATATTGTAATTAGCAGTAAAGAACTAGGAATATAAGAAAGCATATTTTATTCATTGTAATATTTTAAAGAGTCTTAAGACTGTGCATGGTATGCAAGTTACTCACCGATCGATATTCTTATCCGCCCGCTCGATGAGATAACAGAAGAACGCAGTTGGCCTTCACCACGGAAGACCAAGGAAGCTGATGCAACGCAGTAGCAACCGTTACTCCCCGTGTGACGTCGTGCTCCCACCATGACTCTCCCACCAGCAGCCCAGGACCCGAGGCAGTCTAGAGCGAGCTCCGCAGCCAGCATTACTATTCGGAACCTCAAACAGTTAACACATATAGTAATCCGGCGTCCGCGTCGTCAAGATTTTGCATAGTCCGAAGGACTTTATTACTATTTCAACAGTGAAGCAGTTAACACATTACTATTTCAAACCTCGACTTGCTAACACATAATAGTAATCTGGTGGTAACATCGACAAGATTCGCATAGTCTTAAAGATTTCTTATATACTTCGAGTTTTTCTGACGTTTGTCTAGCGTCAGTAATATTAATCATTTAACTTGAGATTTAAAATAAAGTGCTACATTTAATTTTTACTACGTTCTACAATTATTACTACATATCAGCTGCCCATTATCCAGAATAATTACTATTATTATTAAGACGTATATAATCAACTGATTCGGAGGACCGTCTACAAGAGGGAATCCAACATATTCACATATATTCTCAATTTATATTCAAGTATTCGTAAGTAAGACATTACTTTTATTTCCTTTTAGACAGGTTATAAGACTTCTGGTCCCCGGTAGACCCGGTGAATGCAGGGTGACCGAAAAAAAAACAAAAACATATTGAATGATAAGTATTTTATTAAACTTTAATACTTTATATAACGAATATTAACTCTGAATTAATACAGATTTATTACTAATATTTAAGAAGTAACATAGTCACGTTTTTAAGAAATTACTTAGCATTAATAATTTAAATTTAATTTTTTTTATTAACCTCAAACACTGAGACATGACACGCGTAACTAAGACGTTCCGAACAAAAAAAACTTGCTTACAAAGCGATCTTATCTCTGTGAGCCGAGAAGCGTTGTTCCTCAATTTCTTTGAAGTTGTACAAAACTTTTTGGCAAATCTCACTTACATACGCGTAACTAAGATGTTCCGAACGACGGAAACTTGCGTACGTAGCGATCTTAATTCTGTGAGCCGAGAAGCGTTGTTCCTCAGTTTCCTTGATGTATTTCGAAAATCTTCGAAAAATCTCACTTACATACGCGGGACTAAGACATTCCGAGCGAAGGAAACTTGCGTACATAGCAATCCTAGCTCTGTGAGCCGAGAAGCGTTGTTCCTCAATTTCCTTGAAGTTGTACAAGAATTTTCGGCAAATCTCACTTACATACACAATTTCAAACTAAAGTGTCTCGCTCATGATTGCATCATATTACCGTGGCAATCAGTTCTTTATGGTTAAATCGTTTAAGCGCTTTTTGTTAGTGAAGATTGTTAAATGGTAAGTGGGGAGTTCGAAAGCCGCCGATCGTTCACTGCATCGCGCATGTCCTCGAGTGGCCTTCACTTGGACACAGTACAATTGGACACGATGCAAATTGACACGTTGCAAATGGACACGAAACTGGGTATGGGAGGTGTGCCGAAGGGCCCCCTTGCACCCCCGTGTGTGTACGTGTGTGCGCGCGGGCGCGCACGCGTGCTTTCTGTCCGTGCATGTACTTTAGTATATCTCAAACTTTTTTTGTTAATAACTTTTTACTAAGCAACGGGTGACGATTAAATTAGAAGAAAAAGTTACTCAGAATTATGTCCTTGACAACATATGTCAAGATCAAGGTCATTGGGGCTGGGTCCCCTATTCGCTATATTTACCGAAATTTCATTTGGACACCGTTCAGTAGCAAATCGGTCAGTTGCATACCGTTCAGTTGCTCACCGTTCAGCTGCACTCATAAAAATGCACACCGTTCAGTTGCACACCGCTCAGTTGGCACACCGGTCAGTTGCACACCGCTCAGTTGCACACCGCTCAATTGCACACCGCTCAATTGCACACCGCTCAGTTGCACACACACACGGGGGGTGCAAAGTGGGCCTTCGGCCTCCCTCCCGCACTCACCCCGCCGGTAGGCAGGGTGGACCTCGCTATACAACTACGGTGGCCAAATTAACGTTGTGCAACTGAACGGTGTGCAACTGAACGGTGTACAACTGAGCAGTGTGCAACTGAGCGGTGTGCAACTGAGCGGTGTGCAATTGAGCGGTGTGCAACTGAACGGTGTGCATTTTTATGTGTCCAACTGAACGGTGTGCATTTTTATATGTGCAACTGAACGGTGTGCAACTGACCGGTGTGCTTCTGAACGGTGTCCAAATGAATTTTCTTTTGTGTCCAAAAGCTACTGTGTCCAAAATTATTGTGTCCAAATGTACTGTGTCCGATTGAGCCGTGTGCAAAGTTTCGTGTCCATTTGCAACGTGTCCCTTTGCACCGTGTCCAATTGTACTGTGTCCAAGCGCACCGCTCCCTATGTCCTCTGCCTCGCGCTAAAAACCATCCGGCGTCCGCGCGCAAGATTTCCGTTCTCGCGAGGGCTTCTAGCAAGAAGCCCTTCAAGATTTCCGAAAGGCGGAGAAGGGCAGGTCATCGAAGGACATTCAGAAGATTTCCAATCTTAGTCGCGGGACACGTGTCGAGGCTCGCTCACGGTGTTTTCTAATAAACGTTCATAAAACTACGCTCACGTGAATAATCTTTACACTCCTATTCCTCCAGCGAATCTACGGATTCGCGCTACACATTGCTTCTTGCTCAACTCTGAGCGTATCTGCAAGATTTGGGCGATCTCGTCGAGGTCGACTCCCGAACAATGATATTAGTAAATATGTGTCCTTGTGTATTAATTGAAGATTTGAATTTAATAACAAACTGTTTCTTTTGAGTGGATGGGAAAACTAAAATAAGAGGAAGGTGGAAAACAACAAAAATAATATTCTTTGGTAGACTCACTACTTGTTGTGTGCGAAGGAAAAGATGTCTATTCTCGATAACCGAGTGATGCACAACCCTCTGTCTGTCGGGGAAGACCTGGCTGGAAAAGTGGGCCCGGAGATCCGCTCGGTCACGGTGGTGTTGATTGATGCACAAACACACACCACACGTCGGTTGTCCGCACAAATAATTCTTAAATTATATAACTATAACTCTTTGCACTGCACAACGCTCGGAAAACTGTAAGGATAGACTGGTCGAGTTCGGTATGTCGATACGACAGAGCGGTCTGAAGCCAGAAGGTTTAGGATCGAGAGGCGAAGATGAACTGATTTTTCTGAGGGAGGATTTCGCGTATGTCGAATCTTGGCGTCTCTTCGCATACCCTCTCCATGAGTGAGTCTCGATTGCGCACATTACCGATCGGACACGACAATATTTCCCAATCGGACACAGACCCAATCGGACACAGGCTCGATCGGATACAGTCCCGATCGGACACAGGCTCGATCGGACATAGACCCAATTGGACACAGTTCTGATCGGACACATACTGTTGCAATCGGACACAGTCCCAATCGGACTCAGGCTCGATCGGACACAGACCCAATCGAACACAATTCCGATCGGACACATATGGTTGCAATTGGACACAAGTCGATCGGACACAGGCCCGATCGGACACAGGCTTGATCGGACACAAACCCGATCGGACACAGTCCCCATCGCGAAGCTAGGGCCACCCTACAATTGTTGTGTGGATGAGAAAAAGTATGCGTGGACACAGTGGGTTCCGCCCCCCCCCTACGGGGGGGCTCCACTTATCAA